GGCGACACGGAGAAATTGGGCAATTAGACTAGCGAAAATATGACGAAGACACGTTTCAAAATGCACCACACTGGCACCGGACACCAAAAAAAGGACCCCTGCCACCAGCAATTTCTCACCCGTCGTCATTAGACTTAACTTTGCTGAGAAACTAAGCAGGAGACTCGCAGGGATCAAAGGTCAGCGAAGGTCAGCCACGATTTATGATTGGACTTGCGCCGAGTCGCAGGGGCACAGGCGTTCAGTCACACTTGCGATGCGTTATTATATGCAACGTGCCACGTAATGACTCTGGGCTTATCGTGAGGCACTAAATAGCTTTTTCTCTTTTAATACCAAGATTATAAAACCATTTAAATACTATTATTAAAGCTCGAGTTCTTCAATTGCTTCGTTGACAGATTGTAATAAACTCTCGCACTCGCAACTATTTGCAAAATATTTAAATACCTTATTACACATTATCTAGCCTTCACGTTCTGTTAATAATATCATTAGTCGGTAGGTGTTCCTATAAAAGATAGGTCCATTTTTATAATAATGAGAAGCATTATAGTAACTTGAAGAATGGAGCATGTTTCAATGGAGGGCACTTCATTGAAAGACGAGATCTCAACACGTGGAAACTTTAATATATAAATAATTTAATCACATTTATCTAAACATATATTTGATTAATTTGATACAATTTTCTAGCCAAGTATGTTGATTAATTTAACGCTTCAAAGCTCAGCGTAAAATTAATCAAGCACAAAATCTTAAGTTACTTCTATGCAATAAGCAATTTATAAGCGATGCATAGACTTGATCGAACATTTATCGATCGCTCGTTGTCTGCGACATTGAATCGAACAGGAAAAAAGCGCCGATTTAGGTGACAAACATGCAACTTTACTAAACGTAAACAGCAAGAGGGAGAGCTGTTGTCGCCTTAATTATCCTCCATATATTATACCCAAAGGAAGTCAGCTTTCACATCTTTTTCTTTCTCGTTTTCTGATGGTAAAGATAAAAAGCTGCAATTGAAAAAAGAGAGCCTATTGTACGTCCCCCACTCCGTGTAGATACACTGTAGTAAGTGAATTGTAAGACCCTGTATATCCTTTCTAACTGGGAGTCGAATAGAAAGACCAATGAACTGGAGAATTGACTTCCTTCTTGTCTCATGGAATTCGTAGAGACTCATAAATAACTGGCAGAGACTATCTAACTTTCAAGTGAAGTGCGATTTGGAATGCCTCGTTTACTCCCTATTCTCCGCATACTTCCATAGGGATGCTCTTTTGTACCAGGTGTGACTTATACTGGAACCGGCGGAAGTACAACACACAGAGGGTGGGAAATCGTAATCACTCAAACATGTCTTTTTTTAACGTCCCCATTTTTCCCTTATCCGAAATCTTATCGCTTCTAATAGACCTTAACTATTTATTTATATGTACTTCTACAGGACCTACATCCGAGATCCTTCTCCATATCGATTTCTATAGCACAAAACCTTCTCTTAAACTAGTTTAACTATCAAAATTTTGACTTTTACCAAAACATATTTAAATCCTGATAAAATTAAAAACATAAAACCTTACTTAAAATGTTATAACTTTGTTATAATAATATAATAAGGTATTTTTAATCTATAAATTTAAGAGTATATAAAAGTGTAGATTATTGTAGACATCATTTTTTTCTCTTTCAAAAAATGAGTCATTAATCAACGTCTTATTTGACGTAATTGCTGGCCCAGTCAAACTACTTTTTTAAGGACCAACTGCCATGGATTAAGCACGATACAAATATAGGTAAATTAGTAGTAAAAACTAATCTAATATACACCGTGAGGCATTTCACCATATCTCTAATTAATGACATTCTATGAAGTTAGTGTCATAAATGTCCAAAATTCATTAATTTTCACCTCTTCTTATAATTAAACAAAACTCTTTAACTGATAAAAACATAATTAAAACCATTAAAAAAATTAAAAATTAGTTAAAAAAATAATTTAAATCCAATTAAATTAACTTAGTTAATTAAAAAATAGAAAAATAAAAAAGACAAAGTAAAACAATAGAAACAAATAGAAACAAGGTTTATTAAATGGGATTTAACAATAAAAAAAAAAACTGAAAAATGCTATCCTAAAAATCAAAATCATCCATCTCTAGTTATATAATTCGGTTAATGCTATTATAGTAACAATTTTTATTGTTTAATCAGCCGTCTCACGCATCATTATTATTTCAGTAGCGTTTTGTCAACAGAAGTTACACCTAAATCGGTATAAGGTTTGAGTTATTGTGCTGTTTGACTTGTGCTTTTGAATCTCTCGTCATGCGTGAGGCACGGTCACGTAAAAGTGTCATAAACTAAGAACCTGTCCACTAATACGTGATGTAATTTTAAATTTTGTATAAAATACCGAAAAATCATTGATTTATTTTTTTAAAACGATGTGTTTTTTTTTGGCCAGTTACTTTTATTCTTTTCTTTCTTTACTCCGTGATTCTTACTCGTATAATCTTTTATTATTCGTATATTTCATTGAATTAGTTAAATTTTAAGAATAAATAATAGGCCTATTTATGAAAGAATTTTAAACTTAAATAATATTGCAATTACAAACTTCAGATTTTTAATTGATAGGCAGTAAAGTTGTCAGGTTAAGTTGTTCGTAAACTGGTTGTTCAAAAAATATATTATACTTAAGTGATATTTTTTTCTAAATAACGATTAAATGCTTGTATTTATAAACATTAAATTAATTAATCTATCTTAAAACGTTAAAAATAGCTAAAATTGATACAAAAATGATCAAGAATTGCTACTTACATCAAGGAAGATGCTTACATTTTCCACAAATGAAATGGGAAAATATATTAAAATAAATATAAAATAACTTATTTATTTTGCTTATTTATCTTTATATATTAAAAAAAAACAGGAAAATTTTTAAATATTATCTCAAAACTAAATCTAAGATATTCTACAGATTGATATTTCTTTCCTTGAAACTTGGTACTTCGGGAGTTTTAGCATTCTTGGAATATCCAGGATGACAAACTCCACTCGTCCCTGAAAGTTTACTTATAGCTAGTCCAAAAAGTATTAGATTCGGAAGTCTATCATAAATTATAAATATATTTTCTCAGGTATTTCAAAATTAATATCTAAATTATTATATTAACATATAATTTAATCAGTTCTATTGCTAAGTTTATCCGTGTCATCATTAGATACGGAGGATAAACTAATTTAATGAATGAAAAATTAAGATAAAATAGTAAAAAAAAATATTCTACCAGAGTAACTAATATGTAAATAAGGAAAGCAACCAGTTTTATCGTGTAAAAAAGTCGTGACTATTAAAGATTTGTGGAAGGGGGTAGACAAGATTCGTGCACAATATTACATGTCTACACATAAATCTTTCAAAGAGAATTTATTGATAACGGTTTATTTTATAACCCCATTTAAATTAATGTATATAAAATCCCATTTGTTAACATGTAAAAATTATTTTTCCGTTTCTGCACTTCAACTCCATCTTGATACGTTACAAAGAGACGGTAGCTCACAAAAAGTAAAATGGCGCTAGCACGTGCAATAGCACGTGGGTTGATGCAGTGATGGAAGACAGCGATAAACAGGTTAAGAGTCATCATCCATCGCTCGTACATCGTCCCTAGCTGCAGACGGTGATTGAATGATAGTACAAATATTCATCAGATAGGCTGCATAGGGCTGACTTTAATGCATTGTTACATTACGTGACATCGTAAGCCTCCCACAAAATAGGCTAAAGGCTCTTTATATGACTTCAAACTATCTGCGTAAGATAAAATTAATAGTCAACAATAGCAGAATTCAAGACTATTAATCCTATTGCGGACCGTGATGCTATTCCTATACAAGGCGATTAATCATTGCAGCACCGCTGTAATATAATAAAAATTTTTCGTTAAAATTTTAATAATTAAATTTAATAAGTTTTAAGATTATTAGCTTAAATAAACAAAGTCAATAATTTAATATTTGTAACTACTTAGTAGTCCCCGAAGGCGTCAAACCTATTTCTAAATTTAGTAGTCCATATAATAAATCTGGAGACTAATAGATAATTAGTTTCTTGTATTCTTGATGATTGATAGAACCAAACATTCCTAAGGGATTTGGCTATTCGGAGAGAAACATTAATTGTTAAGTAGGAGAATATAGAAAATTCGGCACTTCTCAAAATTATCAGGATCATCCTCTCGTCTAAGCTTTATTAATTACATCTTGGTTGACGTGTTGTCTGCAGTGATGTACCCCGATACCATCAAATCCTCATGACAAGAAGAAATTTAGCGCAGAGAACGACTCAAATTAATCATACCCATCTTCCTGTCGCTTGATGAATGGTCCTGGTACACAGGTCAAGGGAAGACAAGTCCCCTGCCCTCTTCGCTTTTCTTCCTATACTCTCTTTTGGAAGGGTCATGCGACTCTTTGACACGAAAGACGACGACGACCGTAAACTCCGTAAAAAATTTGCTAAAGGATATCTAACGAGACGCAATTGTGATCTGCTTGTATCCAGCTGTTCCTCTTCTGATGCAATTTTTTAAAACTGATTTCAGATAAGCCGCTTTCTGCGATTATTGTCAATTTGATTTGGATGATAATTCATGTTGAACATTTTTATATTTTTTTCCGATTTTTTAAAAAATAAATAAAGGTATTTAAAAAACGTATTCGTTTACAATATAACTTTAAAGATGTATTTTTGAAAATTTCAAAGATATTCTGTTGAAACGGTTGTTCATTAGATTATTTTTAATACTAAGATATTTGGATTGTTAATTTATATTTTTCGCTATTTTAACAATAAATTTAAACTGAAAATTGTCATTTGTATATTTATTTTTAGTATTTATAACATTTTTTATAACAACATTTTCAAGAATGAAATTTCAGTTTTTAAACGCACCAAAGAAGCTTAAATTCAAAATCTAAATATTTCATGTTCTTTTCCTATATTCTTAATAGAGAAAAAGTAAAATTAATACAAAAGCAATGACTAAAATGCGTTTAAATTCAGTTGTATAAACTAAATTAAAGGAAAAAGATTAGTACCAGATATTCACCCATTCTGTAACTCATTATTTATCCAATCAATAGTACAAATTGCAGAACTATAAGCTTACATTAATGCTGTATAAATTGTAGGTGTGAGGTATATAAATTACGGAGCGATTTGGTTGACTTCAGAAGGATCTCTCACCTTTCGTGTCCCCTAAATGACTATCTCGTTCTTGACTTGATCGATCACTCGGCAATTCTATGGCATCGTCATAAACCTACGCATTCAAGATTATGAATAGTATTTGTCAGTTTATAAATTACAATTTAACATATTTGTGAATTAATCGTACTTATCCATCATTAAAAAATTGGTTGAGAATTCATTCTGTTTGCAATTTTATGATGTGTAGGATTGGTCTATAGAAAAAGATCTTTAGTTTAACTAACCAGACATCTTCCATAATAAAAAATCATTTTAAAAACTAAAAGAAATTTTTTAAATTTTATGCAATTAGAATTAAAATTTCTTTATTTTAAAATAAATAAATTTATTCAAAAAACACGGCAATTGTTACAACATAAGAACCTTGATGTTTGTTTACTCATAATGTTCTGGATAATCATGGATTCTTGGTTGCACATAACGGATTTTTAAGGATAATTATCCTGTTCTGGATGTAATCTTCTCCGTGTTTTTGGATGGATATATATTTTTTGTTAAAGCTAAACGTCATTTTTGACAGAAGTATCTTAATTAGCTGCATCAAACCTAAGAATGACTTCCACCAAAAAATATTTGGGAGCCCAATGTTATTTATGTCCTATCAGAGAGAGTGAAACGAGTATTTTATCTGAGCAGCAACGAATGAGAGCGATGACACGTTATAGACTGCAGCAACACCTGTCGCATGCCTGTGTCAATCAAACTGAAGAAGACACAAGTCTCAACACTGATTAATCATAACTAATGCGAAACATAGCTATCGGTACATATTTATAGCGAGAATTAATGACAAGTAAAGCTAATGAGGTAACAAAACTTCGTGACATTCGCTAGAATGTTTATCCTGCTCGTTACTTAATATAGATAGTCTATACAGATGTACATCTCTGGTGATGACAGTTTACCGCATTTGTTTTTAGCCCGGTTAGTTATGCAACGACACAGAAGCTAAGATAGGATTCGAGCCATTTATTTCTTTTTCATGTAGCTTATATTCTACAGACTTGATAATTATAATTCATTTCTATCTTAGTTATATATTTATCAAAATAACGATGTAAACAATTTTAATTGAGCATAAACATATCATCTCCATTTAAAAGCTCAAGTTTCTTATTTTCAGTAAAAAATTTGATTCGTTTTAAACTTAGAATCATTCTTTACAACATAAAATTAGGCTTATTTTAGGCCAGACTTGCATCCGTATATAGCTAAGATGTATACAGATGCATAAGCTGTATAAGCTGTATTTTATATAGATTTAGAATCATTACTAGGAATATTCTATGTAGAATATTCTGTTATCATCTTGTAACCGTAGGGACAATCTACATAGGTTTAATATTATCTTACCCTATGAACACATACAGAAATGAAATCATTCTGTATCTTATATATGCTTAAAATATCTTAGAACACCGCTCATCTGTTCAATTATTTATGTATACACATATAACTTATGTATGCATATATAATTGAATTTATATCTATTATAAGTCTTCCTTCTCACTGTAAAAACTTCAAAATAGTAAAGAAAAAATATTTACACAAGTCAAGCTTGTCAAAGAAAAGAAGAAAATATACAAAGTACTTAAAAATAATTATCTAATTAAATAAGATATGTTTTAATTGGCATAACTTCTATAATTTGTTGATTTTGGAACATATTTAAACTATTTATTTGTCTCAGTTCCAAAAAAAAAAGGTTTTTATTGTTCTTTTTAAAGAAATGAAAAACAAAAAGCCGCAGGCATTTAACTAGCATTTTTACAGTTGGGAAGAAATACTGATAATGAAAGGGCCTTCTAATAGATTTTCCCCTGAAAAAAAAGAAACAACTCGACTTAATAATGTTACGGTGGAAGATAAGAACTTCTGGTGTTACGTCAAATGATTTTTGTGCTTCGCTTACAAATTGCTCTTTTAAAATACTACTTTAATTAAATATATCAATAAAAATATATCGAAAACGTTATTTTTTTTTACGAATTTTGATGTAGATAAGACATTTATTTATTTATATAGATGTTACATTTATTTAAACTCTCAACTAAATAAAGTAACGTAGTTAAAACTAGTTGCAACTCGATATTTTTTTAACTAATTAATTCTGTATATATTATGGAAGACAGAAGCTAATTTATAATTTTAAATGCTCATTTTTAGAGTATTTTTAAAAATACACTAAAAATATACTAAGCTATACGTGTATGAATTTATACATATATTTAAAAATAGTAGCATATACAGTAAATTAATGTTTTTGAGACCATAAGAACTAGATTTTGATCTTTCTTAATTGAATTAAAAGCTTATTATACGAACTTTTACTAAGTACTTAATAATTTTTACAGTTACTATATCATATAGGCTACAGTATTTATTTTTTTTTTTTTACTATAGAGGTATATGGATTGATGTTTTCTAAGCTATAAAAATTAGATATAATTCGAGTTTTTTTAAAAATTTTAATCGATTTTGTGAATTTATGGGAGCGTAAAATGAATATACAGCATCTAGAAGTGCAGTTTCAAGATTTTATAAAAATACACATCTTTTCAATTCCCATATAAGTTATGTTTTTTTTTAGAATAGTATCACATAGATCAACGTTTTCTAGACTATAAAAAGTACATAACAGAAAGGAAAAGATTAATATTAGAAAGTCAAAAGTTCTGAGATCCTTATCACTAGTTCCTATTGAAGCCATTTTGGACATAAGGCTCTTTTCAGAGGCCCTGTTATGTTGATTGATCTATAAGGCTTTCTTCCTACCTCACAAAGCCTACGATTCCAAAGTGAATTTAGACAAAAACAAACTATCGAATTAATGTTTTTTCGCAGTTATAGAGTAGAAACTCTGTACTTTAATGAAGTTCAGCTGTCATTTTATGTCACAGAATGACAGCAGAGTGTGGTTTATATAGAAGAAATGCAACTGAAGTAGGTGACATTTTGATAACACCGAACTTCAGAGAACGAACTAAAATGCCGAATCGTATCTAATTACATAATATTAGGTCTGGCACTTAATGGAAGTAGAAAGAAAACCGATTCCTCGTAAAATAAATAGATTTATTATAAATCTTTCAGGTTAACGATGTTATTTATCACATAGAGATTAGATGTACAATAATATATATAACTTAAATCTAATGTTCTTTAACATTAATATGTCATATACAGTTGCGTACTATGTTTTAATGTAATTTATTAATTAGAATGTCACTTTTTGAGGTAGAGAAATGTAATTTAGAAAAAAAAAATACTTTGAAACTGTTTCGGAAGCTTTAAATGTGAGCTACTAATCTTAAAGATAGGACAATTTTAAAGCAGAATATAGAGCCTTAATTTAGTCTACAAAAGTTATTTAAAAATTTAAAAATTAAGATTATCTTCTATTAATAAAATATATACAAGTTTTCTTCATATAGATATTTCCAATATTAATAAAGCATTGTTTAAAAAGCATTATTGAACTCANTAAATTATAACTTTAAAACATATTTTAAATTTAACCAACAATACAAAGGAACTAAATCCTATTAACTAAAGGCATAAAATAGTGATAGGGGCCTATAAATTATAAATGTTAGCCTATAGGCAAATAAATAAATTACATAACTTACAGTTATTATTTAATGCATATAGAGATATAAATAGGCCAAAAACTATATGCAAATTTTATTGTCATTTGTCAGATTTAACATTTGATGAAATATATTTTAATGATTTATGATACAGATAAATTAAATTATCGAAATTATCATTTAATTTCCAATTTATTGCATAATTTGAGTAGGCGAACAGACATTTAATAGGCCTATACTTAATTGTAATGTATCTGTTTTTAGATAATTACTATCAACTTAAATATACACATCACATATTAAATTTGATTATTTAGATTCTATGTTAATGATATATTTTAACAGAAAAAGAAAGTATAAAATAGAAAATATAAATCAGCTATTTCCATTATTCTATTTTACTCCAAACTAATATTACATTATCTTAATTTTAATTAGATTATCAGTTAGAGTATTATTATTTCTTGCTTTAATTTATAATAAAGTATTTCAATATTATTTCTTAGTTCGAACTTATTTAAGTACATTCTGTAATTAACTTTATTCATAACTGCATTTTTTTTAGACGATTTGTACAGTAAAGATCTAAAAATTGATTTAATTTTATTTAAATAAGCAAACAGGCCTATAGATTTTTGAGTTTTTAGAATAATTTTAGCCTAATATAATATTTGATGTAGATAAAATATTATTTAGAGGTGGCCTTTGTTGGAAGGTCATCATTATTGGAGGTTCGACTGTATTAGATAAGAAACAATGGAAAAGTTTGAAGAGATTTTCGGACTAAAAGAGCTAAAAAGAGTCCTAAAAGAGCTAAGAAATAATTAAATGATAGTGATAATGATGATAAACTTTATGAAAAACATAATTTCAACCCAGCTTATTATAAATAAACCTTAATAATTCATTATTTAAATTATGTTTTTTATTAGCATTTAGCATTGTATATTAACTCTTTTAATTAATTTTCTCTTACATATAATTTGTTTTAGTTTAATTTTTGATAAATAACTATTAAATGTAGCTTGTTAAAGCGCGTTATTAAGCATGAAAAGGACTTAAAAAAACTTTCAATTTTTATAGACAAATAGATGTATATGTAAATAAGGAAAAAATATTCCATTAGTTATAGATTATTAATAAAAGACAATTTGTTATATAAATAAGGAAGCTTAATAATTTTAAAGATCAGAATAGGCCCAAGATCTAAGATTTTAAAAAAAGCAGTCGTTCCAGGTCTTGTCTATAGAGAAATAAATGCTTGTTAGAACTGTTATTAATAGACTATCCCTCAATGGAATTTTTTCATTCGATTCGCTCCAACGAATTTACGATGGCTAAACACGTTTATCTAGGACTTATCCCGACGAGTTTGATTAAGTAGGTAGACTGTTGAATCTCAACAAATTATCACCCAGATGGCATATCATTTACGCTTCTGAAAGCTTTCTTTTTTAACACTAACAATGATTCTCCTCCTCATTGCTTCATCATTTTGTATTGCTTTTCTCACGGGACATTAATTCCTTAAAGTTTAGGACTCTTCCGTTTATGTCCACTTCGTTTCGATCTTGGTGGTTCGCAATTTATGAGGTCTCCCGCAAAGACATCTGGTCTCCTCCGTGTCTATAAAAGAAACTCTTGTCTGCACTCTGCTCTAGCTTTCAATGTTCTTTTCATGTAAAGATACCTATCCGATATCCCATTAATAACATTCGACACTATTAACATAGTAAAGTTTAATTTATGAAAAAACTGTTTTTTTGGCAATTGAAATGCTTTCGTTTACAACTAAATACGAAATTTTTATAATATAAATTTATTTTAACATTTTTAAAAACATTTTAAATGTAATTTTATAATTTCTTCTACATTAAAATCTATATAATTTATGCTTATATCAACGATAAAATCCTGTTGGAAAATTCGGCTTTTCTTAAAAAATTGATAAATTAAAGCATAAAAAATTGTAAAGTAGATGATAAAAGATAAAATTTACCGAAATTTAGAATAGATTTCTTGTTGCGAAGGGAAGCAGAGGATGAAAGATTTAATGTGTAAGGGAACTGTTTGCAAAACCAAACGGAAGCCACCACCAAAGCGTCATTAGAGCAATTAATAACTAGAAGAGGTTTTCCAATCACCTATGGCCTGCTAGTTACAACGGAATCATCCAATCAGCCGACATTAGTCTCCGTCCAAGCTCCGCCTCCGAGCAACAGGCCGCTGCAACTCGAGGGTGAAGTAACAGCACGTGCGTTCATTCCGCTCGTTAAGTGGAGAGATCATTTCGTCAAGCGACGTTCTCCGTTTCTAGACTCTCAAAATGTTAAAGTGGCCCCATACTCGCTAACAAGACATCGGAATGGATTCGGATCTTAATCGTTTATCACCAGAAAAGTCGACGGAATCAAACCAGAAAGCGTCATCAAGTGGAGCTAAGTCTATATCATTTTCTGTAGCATCGCTTCTGGCAGGATCCAAGAATGCAAACGGTGATGCCGCTCCCAGTAGATCTACCCACCTGAGATTTGCTACGCCGACTCGATTTTCTGTAGAAGGACTTCTTCGTGCTGATCCACTCTTTCATTTAACCGGAGTTCCTCGTCCTACTCCAATTTTGGACGGGGTTAAACTGTCTTTGGCGCCACAGCAAAACATTGTGACTCCTGTCACGTGGACCTCGACGCATCTCGGCACTTCTGTTATGCCCTGGATGCAGCAACACACGCGCCCCATTTCTCCATCTTCACTTAATAGTAAGTTGGCATTTGTCGAAATTTTCTTCTTTCAACCTATTAATTTCTGACTCATTAAACTTTATATAATATATACCCTGCCTTATCTTCAACCATAACTATAAACCAATCGAGAAATCCATCATCGTAGACAAAAATTAACAAATTTCTAATTTTTTAACACTTCAACTGGCCTAAATTTCATGTTAAATCACAGGTAAGATATATAATAACCCTTAGGAAAACGTATTTATCATAGAAATAACCCGTCAAGAAGATTAAAATGTCCGACATTCTTCAAGTTCAACATGAACCCGTTGAACCTGATGTCACTTGGTTAAGGACACATTCTAAGAATTGTGTTCCATTAATAAATTATAACTTTAAAACATATTTTAAATTTAACCAACAATACAAAGGAACTAAATCCTATTAACTAAAGGCATAAAATAGTGATAGGAGCCTATAAATTATAAATGTTAGCCTATAGGCAAATAAATAAATTACATAACTTACAGTTATTGTTTAATGCATATAGAGATATAAATAGGCCAAAAACTATATGCAAATTTTATTGTCATTTGTCAGATTTAACATTTGATGAAATATATTTTAATGATTTATGATACAGATAAATTAAATTATCGAAATTATCATTTAATTTCCAATTTATTGCATAATTTGAGTAGGCGAACAGACATTTAATAGGCCTATACTTAATTGTAATGTATCTGTTTTTAGATAATTACTATCAACTTAAATATACACATCACATATTAAATTTGATTATTTAGATTCTATGTTAATGATATATTTTAACAGAAAAACTTCAAAATTCTATAAATATTAATAATTTTAATTAATTTTTACATTAAAAAAATTATTTTATGCATGAAAACGGTTATGATAACGGTTAAGAAAGGAACTAAATTAAATTAAAAACTAAAATTTTCTACATTTTTTTAATAAATAAATATGATATTTACTTAATTAGCATATTTACTTTCTAATTTATTGTTTAATTTAATTAGCCAAAAACCTCTTAAAATCTTAATAAATACCTTCAGCTCTTTCACAAAATAATACAAATTCATACAAAGTTAAATATAAAAAACTAAATGAACAACAAATCAATCATTATTAGCAAAATTAGCAAACATTTTAGTTAATTCTAAATGTTAAAAACTAAGAATTTCAATGGAAACACTTTATTTGTGATTTAAAAATATATAAATAGGCCTACATATAATATAAAGAAGAATAAAAAAATCAATTTGATAACATTCAAATGGGGAATTGTAAAGACAAGCAGATGCATGACACAGTAGCTGACTTTATGAAAAAGGTGAAACTTAGTTTTTAGTGTCGTTCCAATTAGAAATTATAGAGGGTGAGCTTTGGAGTGTGAAAGGCGTGACTGAAGAGTGCAGATGTATGAGTATTGTGTGATGAATCTGTCAATTATTTTCATACAATTACAACTCGATTCGTGTCTTACACTAATGATTGATAGTAACAACTGCTTGTAACCTTCGTTAAAATTAACTGTGACGTTGACAGATGTTTCATCAATAAGTCTGAAACATGGCGTCTATATACAATCCACCAATTTTTTAAGTTAGTCAGAAAAAAATCTTTTGGTTCAATAAATCTTTAAATTATTTGAAAAAATATATTTTTTGGGTAATTAATAATTGTAAATTATGTCGGATAATAAATTTAACTTAAAATTTTAAAAGTATAAACATGAAAATTATATTAAAAAACACAAGTTCTTGCTTGTTCAAATACAAGAATTAAAAAGTAATTAGTAACCAATATTCTGTCTTTAAAAAACTCTGTAAATTATTATAATATAAACATTTATTTATAAATTCTTAATAATTCTTAGAAAAGATTATGAATTTTAATATTTTTGAATGCAAAAAGGTATATTAGACTTTATCACCGACTTAGTTAATATTAATATAAGATGAGGCGAATACTAAATACTGTATATAAATAAATATATTTTAATGTTAATTTTAAAATTTAATTTAATACTTTAGCCTATAATTCATATTTACCGCTTATAATTACATTTTGTTATTCTGTAAAGACAAATTAATAGAACAGTATTCCATAATTTATATTTAATGCGACTAAGAAGAGGTGAAGTAGTTTAAAAGACCCAATTAATAAAATAATAATAATTTGTTAGATTAAACAATTAAAATTTTATAAATATGTTAAAAAGATATTAATAGGCCTACATTTTAGTGCGTAATATAAACTTATATTAAACGTGAAAGCATATATATCATTATGGAACATCACTACATAGAAAAACAGGACTTTCATGTCAGTATCCTATATTAAACACAAGAGTATGTAATAATTACTAATATCAAATATTAGAAATATATTACCAGTCTATACTGAACTTCAGAGCATATCAATTGTCTATACTAAACATTAATAGCTTAAGCATAAGACATATAGTAAGAATAATAGTAAAGGGTAATATTAAATTGTTATTTAATTAATTAAAACTAGTAAGAGTAATCGATATTACATATTAGAAGCTCTATGACAGTCTAGCCATTTGGTATAGAAGCTCTTAAAGGCCATCATCCAAGAGATCAATAGGTCTATTTCAAAGAAATTAAAACTTTTCTATTATCGGCAATGAAATCTTAGCAATAAAAATAGCGTTTAAGCTTCTTATAGTCCAATTTCTAGGAAATTGATCGATAGTTAGATTTCTTATTTTATTTATATAATATAATGTTAATTTATTGCTTTTTTAGATTTTAAGATATATTTAAAATAGACTAAGTATCAAATTTAATTTTTTAGACTAAGTATAAGACTTGATAAATCTATTTATTTAACTAACATAAACTTTCCTACTTGATTATCTTTATTAGTAAAAATTTTCATAATTTCAAAAAAAAAAAAATCAATTTTGACCTTTATTAAACTATGTCAATGGAGTCTAAATCTTGAACACACGGGAGACAAGAAATAAAAGAAAACATTTAATATATAGCCTATATATGAAAGCAATTTATATAATCTCTTTATTTCTAATTTAACTTTCAATTAATATTTATAATTTAATTTAATTTAGATTTATGAAAGTTAAGAGTAAGGTGATTTGCTTTGAATTACCGTAACCTCCAACTTGTCTAATCTCAATTGGAGGCCAACTAATCGCACATTACCTTAAATCATTTCGAATGATTAATAGGCTATTATCTTTGCTTCGTCATTCGAACAATTTATAATTTAATATTACATATATCTATTTTTCCAATGACATTTTTGAATTTCAACAATATTTAGCCTATTTATACGTTTCTTTCTCAACGAGGATATTCCGCATTTTAAGAGCGCTATATTACAAAATAATACTAGACTATCTACAAAAATTTTATGCAATAAATTTTGTCTAATTCTTATTTTTAACATTAAGATGTAAATTTTCTTGAAATTGAATTTAAATATAAATACTTTTAATGAGCCAAGGACAACTCAGACTGTAGTTCTATTATAAATGAACCTACAGGCAATTCAAAACTGGATCTTATAAAATAAAATTTTACTTTATTACTAATGTAAATTAAAGAAAATATAAAATATAAAATTACTTATTTAATTTTAAAATATTATTTAAAAACATTTTCTATGCAGGCTTTCGTACGAACTGATTTATTTTGATTTAAAGTAAGCAGAATTTTCAATTTGTACAGCACTCAGTTCAATCATAATTGTACTTAAAGTTTAGGTTTACTTCAAGCTTAAGTAAATGTTTATGTTTATTTAATTCATGAAATAACAAGTGCACATCAGAGAGTAATCGACAAATGTGTTTAACAATTAAAAGATTCATTTTGTACACTTTTTAGCAGCGTATTTTTAAATTAAATGTTATAATTTAATACAAGTAAGCATATCGCCCATTCTTGTAATTATTGATCATAATAATAGTTATTAAAGCAGACAAACATAAATATCCGAGTCGACTGCGGGTTTAAATGTCTTTGATGTGATCAACCGAGGATCTTGAGAAGAATCGACATTGTTTAAACAAACTTTGTTCCAGATCAACAGCATTTATGACAGACGCATATAAACTTATTTTTTGTCTTTTATATAAGATTTAAATAACTTTTAACAGGATTACACCTCATTAGGCTTTCTTCCATGATTATATTACCGCTAATAAACTCCAATTTACAATTTAGAAATCATTAATTTAAATATTTTAAAACACATTAATTTATAATTATATAACAGGATTATTACTAATTTTTCTAGTGTTTTTATAGGAAGACAGCCAAATTTTATATCGTACAAGTTTATACACAGTACAAAACATTACGAAGTAAATGAAAATATTTATTAAATGAATGTAAGTCATAAAAAATTAACAAAAGCTGTAAAATAATCCATAAGTAAACTAAATGTTCATAAAAGAAAACGCATGGTTTGGATAACGGAGTTATTCAATAACAGTTTATCATCATTACTTGTATTTATATTAAAGATAGCATCTCATTTGGTTCATACATCGCCCTTTAGCCTTAAGAACTGAGAGTTGTAAAAAGGAATGACCCTCGTTAAATAGCATGACTTCTCCAACAGGTTTCTTATATGGTTTCTACTCGGACACGAACAAATTTACAGTTCATGATGCCATTCTTTCTCTATGGAAAGTATTCTTAAAGATTCAATCATCATGACTTTTTACCTTACATCTTATCCTATGAGCTAAAACAATTTTCCGTCTTCAAAATTCTTTTTGTCATTATTAACATTAGTTTTTCTTTAATTTCCTATCACTATGCACTATTAATTTTTAATTTGGTATATTTAAATTTTATTTTATAATAAAATCTACAAATAAACTTTTTAATATATAAATTTTAATCAATAAAATTAATATTTTTATTCTCATCAACAAAACAGAAAAAAGTATTTAAATATTTAAACAAAATATAATAAAACCTTGTTTAAATAAACGAATAATATAAAAT